CCATAAACTACCTAAGAATATTTGAATCAATATTGGCGACATAAAACAATTATTATATGATTAAGTTTAAGTAAGTACTTATGCCAAAGACATAAACTCTGCATTAGCAGACTTGTTACATTATATTAATAGGTATATATAGCCGTATCTCTCGACACGTTTACTTAAAATGGCTATGACGCAAAATTCTCGTATGTACACAGATTCAATAACATTATTTTATAGACTACACAAACAATGTTGTTATCAATTCCATTAAATTTACGAGCGCATAGTTCAACGAGTTCGTGTCGACGCTAAAGTAAGAGGAATAAAGATCGTGGCCCGGCCTTTGATTCGTGAGTCCCCCGGGGCGAGATGATCTCGCCGGGCTTACAAATGCGCCCATTGCCTTTTCCTGGAGTTATGCTATTCTACATGATGTAACCATAATGGATAGTTATTAAATCACGCTAATGTAGTTCAAGTTGCCATTCACCTTCTTTGAGGTTTAATAAACATTTATGTACGTTTATCTCATAATTATTTATAAATAAATTGAATTTAACATAGAAAGTGATTTGTTAATGCATATAAAACAAATAAGATAGAATAATAATAATAACTAAGATAATATTACTTCACAACATAATCTCGTAATGATTGTGATTCCGCATATAAATTGCTCGCACGGTTAGCGCTGAGGGGAAGGAGCGGGTCCCGTTAGGAGAAAGTAGCCGCCTACACTCCGGCGCAGATCGTGGCGACTCGACCGGCCGCCAGCCGCCATCTTGGACACATTCGATTCGTTTCCAATCTATTAAATAAATTCAATATGAACGCACCTCGAAACTAGGTACAAAATACCACGATATCACGAGTCATCATAGAATAATCAATTAGCAACTTTATTAACGCTTTTCAGATTTATGCGGTCAATGCAACGGACATGAACGTCTTCACTGAATATTCAATATTCATGTATTAATTGATAAAATCACTTTCTCTTAAGTGGCGAAATCTTTTAAAAATACTTATTCATAATATGAAGCGTGTAAAAATAATTTAATAACTCGAATTGTAGTTATATCACCTGCTCACCTCAATCTGTGAAAATAATATTTTTTGTTTATATAAAGTTAACCAACATTAAAATCCGCTTCTTTGTGAGTATAACGAAAACTTTTCGTTATAAACCATTGCATAGCTCCTACCTAGAATGATATGTTTGTACATAATACGATAGTAGTGTACATCATTTGCGTTTAATAAAAGAGTTCAATGTAAGACGTTAAAGATGACTATGTTAGGAATGATTGCGCAAGAGATAAAACAAAATCACGATTCCATTAAACGTTTCATAACTAAACTAGACGGCCGAAGTAGACTCGCTTGACCAGTCGCAGGTGCGCCGGCGTCGTTAAATGACACTCCGCCATTGCGACCCTGAACCATGTTAAAAGTACAAAATATTAAGATTGAGGATCTAATCTAAAATTAATTTTTTACTAATTTGTACAAAAACTTTAGGCAAATATATTATTTTACACGATACTTGTGAATTTTACTGTTTGATCTCATTATTATTATCGCTACAAATTAAGAACTTTGCTATGTTATAAGAAAATTAGAATTACAATCTGTATCATATTATTAGAATATCAGTTTATTAGAATAAAACAGCATTAGGAAATTTTCCTTGTACATAGCAACATGACGGGTTTGTTGAAGCTATGGAAAATTCATATTTACACACGTTACAAATAGTAGTTCGTGATTTACGTCATCAAATAACAAATAGCTCAATAAAATAGCAAACGGATAAAGGATACTTATACATTTTTGTTCTTTAATTTTAACACTCCTTTTTTATCTTACCCTATAAAGGTTTTTAACCTTGCATAATATATATAATTACGTGTTATAAAAATGAAAATTACTATTAAAATTTAAAACATTTACAAAGAAGGTAATTACGTATGAACTTCTGATTTTAATTTTATTTTTATATATGAAGTGTTTGTGGAGTTTTTTTTTAAATCTTCTTATACGTGGAAAAAAACATTCTTAAGTTTTTATATTTTATATCGGTCTGTTTTTATATCAATAATTAAAATCAACCGATTTTATTATCTAATAATTTATGAAAGAAAGAAATGAAGGTATAAAAAAAGCAATAAAATATAATGATCTTATCTCTTTCATGATAGAGATATAATATCCAATTGTATTTACGAAAACTTTTTATTGTGACCGTATTATGTTCTACAGATTCTTAGAATAACAACTAAAGATTTATTTACATTTCGATTTGGCGAAGTAACATTGACTAAAGGATTGGAAATATAGAGTTCAGAATATCAAGGTAAAAGGATTTCTCTACCTATGTCAAATATTTGCAAAATAATAGATATTATGGCTGTTTTAAGATCCGGTTACAGGACGATGACCCTTCGATATGCGGGCTCATTAATGCAATAAAGACAACTGTCGAGCCGCGCGCTGGCAGCGCAGGGGCCTGCCAATTATAACGGTACAGCCGCCGCCTTAGCTTACCTTAGTTCGACTAGCTTTGCAAAAACAACATTGTGTAAACGTAAAATAATATTTTTATTTTCCAATATAAAACTTTCTTCGGGCCAATTATTAAGTTAACATGGTAAGCGTAATCATAAAATAACAATTTAGTTTTTTTTAAAGATTAAAGAAATAACACGACAGACAGTCAGGTAAATATAACAGTATATCTTCAAAGGATGAAGTGTTACATATGCATGAATTCAGAAGTAACACTCGACCCCAATTTAAAAAACATAAAAAGGTAGTCAGGTACGTTTCTCAAATCTTATTTATTATTTTTGAGATTATTATTGAGAAACGCCATTTTATTGTATAGTAGTATAAAAAGAATTGTATAACGCAAATGGAAACCAGTTTGGCTGACTGTTATGTCACGAAAAGTATTTATTGGTCGAGCGAATTAGCTATAGCAGCGGACTTTCACTGCGACTTTCTTGTGCGCGAGATAAACCACAAATACTGGTCTGACTCGTTCTTGTGACCTCTGTCATGTTCCAGTTGGTAATGTTCACAAGATTCTTTTGTGTTGCTTGACAATTGAACGTGTCATAAATTTAACATACGTCAATGTCAATGTTGTAATAGAAAGTTTTATCGGAACAACTTTGAAGACACCGTAGTATAAAAAAAAATGTTTTTTTTTATTATGGCGCCTTTATGTGTTAAACTTGAGTGAGATTTAAATTAACGTTTTTAGAACATTTGCAAAATGTGTGATTAAAACCCGATTTAATGATTCAACTAATTGATAATATTTTTTTAATTTTTACCATATCTATTGTTGTTACAATAATCAACTCAAATCGCAGGCCATTATCGTAGCCATATCGCAGTGTAAAGTTATGTTCTATACATTTCCATTTCCATGCTATATCGATAAAACTATCCTGTCGTATTGAACGAACGTGCCCGCAGTAATAAATACTTGTTTTAGATTAATCATATCCGTCCAGTCTTCGCTCATGCATAAATAAGCAGGTGTTCATAAATATAAATACATTTTATCGTAAAGTTGCAGCCATAACAAGCGTAATTGCTCCGACGCACGATCCCAAGTCAACTTAAATAACATGAACAAAAAATCGACAGACCGGTTCTCCTCGCCATAAAATGGTTTCGGGGTGTTTCGTGCGATGAATATTCATTTAGTTATATATCTACATATAAACATGAGATTCGTGATGACGCATCTCAACCGAAGCCTGTTATCGCTTCGATGAAGTTGGCCTTTTTCTTAATGTTATTTATAGTGTGGATCAATAGGCTCTAGTCATACAGATTCGTGGAATGTACAGCAATAACACACGAACGACGGACGTGAGCTATTAACTATTTTAAGTTATAATTGTTATAGGAAGTACATATGTCATTATTTTGTAAGTTACGTTACGATGCCTATAAATTAAAAATGTTATATATAATGAAATGATTACATCTAAACTGCAAAAAGCAAATAATTTTAAAGTAAAATGATTAATTATACTTTTAATATTAATGAAAAACACACAATGGAACAAAAATACATATGTATGTACTTAAATATAAAAAAGAAAGAAGAATTATGTAGAAACAGCTATAAAGAGCGATGTGACCCCGTTATTCGGGCGCAGAATTGAAATTTAGATGTGGAAATAATAATAACAAATGAATTTGTCGTCCGCTGTGACCTCTGATTTTTTAAAGCCTGCCTAGTGTGAATTATAACTAGCCTATACATACGCAGATGTCACATGGACAAACAAAGATGCTTATTTAAATTTAAAATGAGGGACTCTGATCTCGTTTTTTAAACATAAATACATTTAAGATGTTCTTATAGGAGCTTTTCCACAACTACAACACACGTGATTTTAATAAAAAATGCGTTTATATTAGCTTGAATATATTTATATGCTAAAGGTAAATATTAACCTAACGGGTAAACGAATTATCAAATGATCTCAATAACATACAACAAAATTTCCTACTAGGTATGTTTTTACAATGCATGATGTTATAATTCAACAGAGTTGTACCAATTATGGTCCCGTAGTAGCTATCATTAATGGTAGAATAATTAAAATACTGTTGTTTGATTTATTAAACTATAATTTATAGAAAAATATTTAAAATACGCACACTTGGTAGTTAAAAGCTATGTAGAGCCACTGTTTACATTTAATTTCCTCTTGACGGTAAGCCCTGACCTTTATTAACGAAAGATTCAGAACGTGCTCGCTACATAAATTGATAGATATATATCGGCCTGAAATTCTTGAATCTCAATAGTAGGCGCACCCTAAGGTACAACGTGACATTAAAAAACATGAAACGTTGCGTTAAGGTGACGACAGTGGTACGCCGGCTATTTGGTATTAAAATCGTTTAAACGTTAACATTCTTAATACATACCATTGAATTATTTACACTGGAAAAGGAAAACGGAATGTAAAAAAGCTTACCTTTTTTACTAATTTCGGTGGATTCACGTTCTGGCGATGAACCTGAAAGAAACAGAAAACAATTAAAACAGATAAAAAACAAACGCTTAAAATGCAATTACTTTAAATGTAGGCTGCTTCAGTCTATTTGAATTGTAATGTATTGTATATAATTAACCATTGTATTATATAATATATATAATTAACCAGAAATGATAATTTAATTTGTTATTGTGAAGAAATAAAAGTATTTCAAAGTTGATTCATGTAATAACATAAGATACTTATATAAAATATTGAAATTTAAGTTAGTCTTAACATAAATAAATATTCAATTAACCTAATAATGATGTGAAAATTAATTACCATATTAATTTTATAGAATATAATCGTATACATAATACTTAGGTACTACTTTCTCCATAACAAACCTATTTTTACATTTAATTAGACCTAGTGTTATTTAAATTATAAATATTTATTTGTAAATGAATTATGAACGTCTTTAATCTTTATTGAAATTGATCGTTTAAATATTTATACAAGGAATATTTATAAAGTTGCCAAGAATGATGGCCAGACCAGTTACAGTAACCTGTTTCGGCAAGTAAAAGGATAAAAAAAAACAATTTCTTTTTTTTTAATTTGTATATTTAATTTACTTTATTCGATATAGATATACGCAATTTAGTGCATATAGCACATTATTTTATTAACGTTACTTGTTTTTCATAAGTATTTCAAAAAGTTATAGGTAATTTAAAATTCATAATAACACAATCTTAGAACCTTTTGAGTCCTGCCAACAAATAGAAGGGGAAGAGTAAGCAAGCATAAATAGATTTCGTTAGTGTATTCATCTTTCTATATACACTGACTTTTCTTAGCAAAGGCATCACGCAGGTGGTCAGGATAGCCATACTGTGATAACTATTTTTATGTCCCGCATCGCATGTCAACCACTTTGCAGCTGGCGGTGGGGTGGTAACCCATAAAGTTATGTGCGTCACAAAAGTAATGGTTTTGCAATTCATTTCTTCACCTTCATATACTAATTGAAAAATATACGGATGTGACAGTTACACTATATTATTAAATATATGTTTATTGCATATCATTAAAAATTTAAGAGAAATGATATAAAACTGATAAAAAGCCTTACACGCTATATGCATAATACATATTCAGCGAAATATTAAATTAGTTATAAAACGGTCATTAATTTCACCAGATACACCTACAATTACATTCAGAGTCGCCGTTGGAGCGTTGCTATTCGACTTGTTCTTTATCGCAATTAACCTTATTTTCCCTCTCCTGTATAAACCATGACCAAATTTGGACCGGACTTGAGAGACAGGCAATTAATTCATCGAAAAACCTGATATCCATAATTGAAGTGTAGGCGTAAAGCGAGAAAACAGCTGGCTATTTATTACTCGCATAGCTTACTTGACATTTTATAAAAACCGGTTTATAAATTATGCAATAGAAAACAGACTCATAATGATATGCAGCGACTGCCGACTGCTTAGCACAATCACCTGTCAATCGATGTGAAATATGATCCTTATTACTATTAATTCATTCACACAAAGAAACACAACTTATAACCTTTTTAAATCGCATTGATTTTATTCTAACATTTTGCACCTATGTTGCTTTTATAGTCGAAATGGAATTTTGTCGAAAATACTCGTCTAAGATAAGATGAAAATTTAACTCTTAAAAGGTATAAATATATAAAATCATACTGTTTGTTATTTCCTCACACGATAAAGGCTTCATGGATGTAAGTAAAACTGGAAAGGAGAAAACTTATATGCTGAATCATCACAAACTATATAGTGATGTCCTTACCACACGCGTTACCACGGTTCATAATACATACAAGCAATACATATTATGTACTTTTCTACACTCTATATTTTTAATCGACTTCATAAAGGCGGAGGTTCTCAATTCGATTGGTATGTTTTTTTAGTTTTTACTATTAACGACTATCTTAATATTTAACAACTAAGCAGCTACTCACTATAGATAAAAAATATATTATTATCACTTTCGTAACGTGGTCTAATATAGAAACTAAATTTTGTTGACTAAAATTAGTATAATATAAATAATACATAGCTCATTCAAATTCAAATATTAGGAGAGGGATTTAATTAAAGCATGGGTCATAATTACGTACAAAATAATAACACGAATGGAATTATTAATTATAATTTGTCATATACCGTCACAAATCTTTTAGTAGTAGTACTTAATACTTCAGTATTGTAAAGATAATTTATGGTAAAATTAATTATACTATATAATATAGGTACAATACATAATAAAAGCTTCAGAAAACTATTTAAACATTAATATATTACGACTTGAGGAATCGATAACCTCGTTTAAAAATGCTCCCAAACGTTTCCTGGAACCGGTCATTATTTACTGGTTCTGACTAATAATCGTCAGCATACTTAAGGGAGGCCAAAAAACGCTATTTTCCCCTTAAAGGCACCGCGAGCGCCTTTCTTGATCGGTATGCGGCTTGGCCACTCGCACAACTGGTTTGAACGTGAGAATGGAGCAGCCTGCAGCGTGCGTTGCCCGATATACCCCCTGGGTGATATTGCTGAACTAATTTTGCTCGAATGAACTAAATTGTTTTTATAAACATTGTATAGTTTTTATATATATCGAACGAATGTTATGCCATTAATGTGTATGTAAAATTATTATTATATAATTATAAATTAAAAATATTTTGGAAAATAGCTTATACTCTTACACTGCTGAACCGATATTAACCAAACATAGCCAAGAACCACCGCAAGGAAACTGGCTTTCAAATGAAAAAAAACCGCTTCGAAATCGGTTCATCCGTTTGAGAGCTACGATGCCACAGACAGACACACACACAGATAGACAGACATCGACGTCAAACTAATAACACCCCTCTTTTTGCATCGGGGGTAAAAAATAATTATTAATTAGTTTTTATTTTCGTACACTATTAATGCTTATAATTATAGATAACCTATATAAACTTATTAAATAAAAATTGTTGTACTAATCTGCTCTTGGAAAATACTCTTCAAAATGTATGGTATTAACACTTATGTGTAATAAAAATATTTTAAATTTTAAAATTTCATCCATAAAATTGGTTTACATAAAATTAATGCAGCGATGATGAGTTGGTATTGAAAACAAGCCCACACTTGGCAAACGTCTGTGTTGTAAAGCAGACAAATAATAATTTAGTGTGGTCTGGTGCGGCTTGATACGGACTAAAAATAGCAATGTTTTCATAAATCCAATATAAGTTTACGCAGAGCTAGCATTCACGGGAATGAGGTCAAACGAGTTGGCATACGTTCTCTCTGTCTTCGGGTGCTGTTAAAATAAAACAAAGTCAATAAATATAAGTGCCACTTCAAAGAGTGAGTAACGGACAAAAGAAGAGAAATCGAAAAACTCAGCCAGATAATAATATTATAGAGCTATTAATTCTTAATATTATGTAAAGATTCATATGAGTGAATGTTTGTGCACTTTGTAAACAAATGATTCATCGCTAATATTATTCCACAGGATTATTATATTTTAATATAAATCAGTACGCTTAAACTTCTCTCTAGTATTATTGAAATGAAAAAGAATATGTTTGTTTATATTTTGTATAAAATATAAACAAATATAATAATTAAATTGTTAGACCTGAACCTACAATAAAGAAATTCTTCAATACCATTCATAATAAATCAATAGGATTGGTTAACATATTTCAGAAAATTCTATATTTATAGTAGACATATATTCACGAGTATATCCTGACATAGAAGTTTGGTTATATTATGTCAGATAAAGTTTAGTGGTCACTTATATATCATTTTCGGATGTGACGTGGAAATTCCCTCGAATTGAATAAAATACCGGTTTTCTCATTAATTACTGTTTTATTAATATTAGAGTAAGAACTCATTCAATTGATATACAAAAATAATAACGAATTGAAGTTCATAGAATTAAAATATTATCTTCTTTAATTAATTTAATTATGCGAAACACGAATTAATAACTTAAAACTTCAAGTCGACAATTTTTATCGTACAATAAATGAAAACGATGGAAATGATGTCATAGTACTTACTACCACACAAGTTTGCGACGTGGCATAATTTTTTTTTTTATAAATATTTATATTTAATTTAACTTAAAAGTGTGTGTGGTAGCGTGATAACTGGCCGACCATGAACTGTGCACTCAATTAATTCTATTTTATCGATTCTCAAAAATGTAGCCGTTTGATTATTATCCAGTACACTCGATTTTCGTTTTTTTATGTGATTAATCAGGTAGTAACGTCTGTCTGTGTGTCATCACATCTATTCTTCAAATCGGCATTTATTACATATGCACATAGAGTTGACCTAACTCAACGGTGGTGGTACATAAAAAAACTTTAATAAATGAAACAGAGAGTTACTCATATTTAAACATAATATAACAAAATTTTTAGTTTTCAAATCATAAATATATACGGTACACTCCTCTACCGAGAAAAGATCACACTTGATCATTTTTTAGCTATGAAATAATATTTTTTTAAGTTTCATAAGCGTGACTAGCAGTATTATTTATAAAATACATAGTCTGTAATCTACATAAAAATAATGATTAGCATACATACGATAAAGCAGATCAAGGAAGGTGGTGAATCCTTATTATTTAATCACAACAAAGTAGTAACTAGATATGGTTTTTCTCATGTGGTGTAACATCGTTACTCTTACTTATTGAATTTAAATTATTTGCGTCAATGGGGCATTACAATTCAACGTATTCATAGTCAAGTGTGTCTCATTTTTTATTTAAAGAGTGAAGTATAAGAAGAAACTGATTTAATCCTTAGCAAACAGTTACGCAATTGTTTTCACTAAGCACTAATAAAAGTGACCAAAGAGACATCAAAATTCAAAAATTATTATTACAATGACGAGTAGAGTTAACAAATATCATAGAAAATAGCACAGAGCTTGATGTATCAGGTAGTGACTTATGAT